GGAGATGGTGACGTTCAACGGTGGCGAGCCAATGGTTCCTGTGTGGGAGGCGAACCGATGGTTTCGTTGTGCCACTCCTGATTTTTCGTATCACCCGAAGGAGAAGGCTATGGTGATGGACAGTGATTCTAGTGGTGACGATGGCTGCGACTATGATGACCCAGGAGGTACTCAGCGGGGGAAGCAGAACAAAGAACAAGAAGGGATGGGTTCGGTGCATAAGAAAGCAGAAGAGGGGAACAAGCAGCGACATCAGATCACACAAACAGGTAACACATCGATGAATCGTCATTTGCCGCCGAAAAACCTTAGGATGTTGGGAACAATGGATCGATATGAAGAAGCTGTGCTGGAGGCGAATCGAGTGAAGCGATGGGTCTGTCAAGATCACTCGCATCTACAAAAGACAAAGAAGCTGGGGTTTCAAGGGGATAAGATCAGTCGATGGTTAGCTCGTGATGAAATTTATTTTGAGATCGGAGGTCGTGCGAAGCTTCGATGGGGAGTCGACTTCAGGATTCTGCATCGATTTCACTCTGAGATCGAGCGGAATTCTTCGCCGGTGGTTCGCCATGATCGTCTCCTCTCTTACTACACAACTCCATGTCTGGCTAAGGAGGATGCGATGTTTGACGACAAGGAGGTTAGTGATTGGATTACTCGAATTGAAACGTTTGTTGCAATCGGAAGGAGTGAGTACAGAGAGAAGATTCGATCTGTTTTTTCGAGAGTTGCTAGCAAGGTTGGTTGGTATAAAAGTTTTAGATCATTGCGAGGCTGCGAAGACGTTTTAGAGAAGACGCAGATCGACAAGAAGACCGTCTGCTATGATGTTGCTGGGTATTTTATTGAAGACATTAGACAGATTGGGATTTTGGAGAGAAGGCTGAACGTTTGGAATTTTAGAAGGAAGACTAACTTGTTCACACCTGTCAAGTTTGTGTTTATCGTACTAAATAGGGAATATTATACCGTTTTTAAAGAAGATCAAAGTAGGAGTGGGCGAGAGAAAGCGAGAGATTCGTCGGAGATGAAAAAGCCGAAAACAACAAAGCTTCGGTGTCCACCGTCTTGGCGACACCGTCCTTCATGGTTTTGTCGTTCGGGAAATCTAAGAAGCTACCGACATGGGCTCCGGCAAGGAAGCATCTCAACTTCAGGAATTATGAGGAAACAACTAGCGTTTCCTGTGCGAAGGGTAAGTCGGAGATCGACAGAGACGGTGACAAATCGTCGGGGCGTATCGGCGGGTTGGGTCATTCTCACAGGTTCAACAATGATAAGGACCACCGCACCCCCGCCGTTTCTTTCTCCTCGACACTGTTGTCCATTGTGCAGCTTCAGATCGATTCTTTCACCACAGCGACGTTGTTCGAACGGGAGAGGAAAACACAAACACTACCTTACTCGCGACAGGGTTTCAAGCTGCGATGGTGAGGGCTGCACCGAGTCTGACAAACGCTGTCTTGCGCGATCAATTATTTTTGGTCAGTCTTTTTCCTACTTGTACAGGGGCAACAGTATGATGGATACGCACGTGAGTTTGGCGTGTTTGGGATGCGTAGATAAGGTGTTCGACGAAATGCTCCAACGAGCCTTGATCTCATGGACAGAACTCATCTATGCGAAAGGTGGGGATATGAAATCTGCGGAAGAACTATTTAAGGGATTGACTATGAAGGACATGGTTGTTGAAACGACAATGGTGACAGGATTTGCGTATAATGCTAAACCATGGAAAGCTCTAGAATTTTCAAAGAAAATGCAGATTTCGGAAATTGGAATCAAGGCAATCACTCTGGTTGGTGTAATCTCGGCCTGTGCACAGCTAGAGGCAACCAAATACAATGATTGGATCAATGACATTGCTTGGAAATCTGGGTTTGATCCAAGTGGCAATGTCGCTGTCAGTTCTATGATCATGGGGTTCGTCATGCATGATCGTGCTCAGGCTGCAATAGACTCATTCAATCACAGGGTAACAAAGACTAGGATAACGCCCAACGCTGCAACATTCATGGGTGTGCCCACGGCTTGCAGTCACACGGGACTTGTCGAACAAGGACGACAGCTTGATGAAGCACTCGAGCTGATCAATTCCATGTTGTTCGAGCAACGCGGTGGTGTAGAGAGAGCACCACTCGGGGCCGGCAAGATCCACAACGATTTAGATGTCACCGATATCACTGCTCACAATCTGTTTGAACTCAAACCTGATACAATTGGGAACTATATCTTGCTTTCTAACGTGTACGCGTCGGCCGGGGATTGGGATGGTGTTACGCAAGTGAGGAAGCTGGTCAAGGAAACGGGTCTGCAGAAAAACCCGACATCTAGATGGGTAGCCGACATGATCCATCGTTTTCCTCGATTCCAGCTTGAGGACAAGCTGAGTCTAAATGCGGGGGGTATTGATAGGCCTCTAGGACTATATGTGAAGAAGACCAAGAAGAGGAAGAAGGCTGAAGAAGGAGGAGCACCTCGGGGAGCTTCGATGGACTCTAATGCAGCAGATAAAAAGGAACAAGGAGCAGGAAAGGGGGAGAAGCAGAGGATCATAACTGACACAGAAGAATGGGAGAGGAGGAATGCGTTATGGAGGTTCACGTACGTATTGTGGGTTTGTTGCATGTGCCACATCAGCACTCTGTTGCTGAGTAGGTCTATAAATAATGTTGTCCTTTGTTTTGGGTGGGTATCTGAAATCTTAAGAATATTGTGGTTTGGGAGGTTAATAGAGAGTGGTGTTCCTCTCTAAACCTTGGTGAAACCTTGGTGGGGAATGGAGAGTGGTGTTCCTCTCTAAACCCTGGTATCCTTTCCTTGGGTATTTTCTTAATATAATCGGTATTTTTATTACAAGGTTCTATCAGTTTAACTGTCCCCTTATCTCAGGAGGGGCAGTTTCAGAGATATAGACAGGGATAAGTGTCACTGCAAGACCGATACCGAAACCATCCAAGAGTCTGGCCAAGCATAATACATATACATTCGGAGACCAAAGCATGATCAAACCACTGATGAAGTAAAGGATGGACGAGAATATCAGCATCGGCCGTCTTCCCAGCCAATCAGTGATGGGTCCTGAGCATGTCGTAATGGCCGTGGCTCCGATCAGGGACATGGCCACGACAAGGCCTTGCACAGAGGTTGCCAGATTCATTTCATTCTTGATATAAACCATAGCTCCTGCATTATCAACACAAAACCTTATCAATACCATATTGATCCAATCAGTTTCAACAACGGACACTCATCTGGGTCGATACAGAGAGTGTCTGAGTAGAACGTATACACACCTGCGATTGTTGCATTGTCCCATCCCTGCAAAAAATTGCCAATGGTGGCTGCGAGAGCAACGAGGGCTGCTCCCTTCATTCTCCGACCAAAGAGAATCAATCACTCCAAAATTTCAGACAAAACCTGAAAAACATGAACACCAGTCAGATCAGTGATCAGCAAGATTGGTCCTCTCCAATGGAAGAACACAAATCCCGATGACCCATGAAAAAGTTCTGATCTTTCTCACACCATCATCACAAAAACTGAAACCAGATCTTATAAGAATCAGTTCCAAACACGATAATTCGATAAACCCAGAAGATTTTGATCAAACAGGACAGAACCCTAACTCAGGATCAGGATCATGGAAATGCAAAGACCCCCAGAGACGAAAAGGACTTGTTTTCTCACTAGAGGCATCAGATCAAAAACAGAGAAAAACACCCCAAATTGCTTCACTTCACAGCAAAACAGACTGACCTTTTTCTCTCAAGTAAGAATCTCTATGGAGGAAAAACCCGGAACGGAAGATGAACACAAGAGAACTGATGAGCCTTTTCGAAACACAAAGGTGACCATTTTGTGGCTCCTCGATATATATATTGGGGGCAAAGACGTTAAAATGGTAAATTATGAACTTTGCAAAATTAGAGATGAATAAAGTCTCCGACATTTATGATATTAATATTTCCGGAGAAAAAAACAACCTGTGATTGCTGCTCCGGCAATGGAATCTAAAAAAAGACAAATAAATATCTTCAAATTATTTATTCTACCAAATAAAAAGAGAGAGATGGGTGAAGTGAATTTCCAAGAAAGGAGATGCTCGGGAATCTGGCGAGAAAAGGTAAGAAAATTAAAAATTATTTCAACCTTTTGTCGAACCCTCTATTCTCCAACGCTCAAGAGAATTTTCTCACCGGCGGATACGGTTTTCTCGGGAAAAAAAATCCGGCCTTTACGAAATTTATGACGAGGATGTACACCCACCAAAAATCTAGGAGGAGTTTTGTCCAGACGGAATCTACCCCACAGTACAGATCTAGATTCTTTTCTCTTGAATACATACATAAATGATTGGTGCTTTGCATTTGAATACTGGTTCTTCGAGGGAAATAATTTAAGAGTGCTGCGAGTTTTAGAGACGGCAAATCAGAACATCAAAAAATGAAAAATAATTTCCAACTTTCTCGGTCTGTCTGTTTCGCGAAAAGGTTGGAACTTTTGTCCCTTTTCTCTCGTGCATTTTTTGTCGGAGATTTTAATGATTTTCCTGCAACTTTTTAGTATGATCTGATTTCTTTAATGTATTGGAAAGATATTATTTAAACACAAATTCAATTTTTATTTTCAAATTTAATATACAAGCTACGGGACAAATGTCTATTTTACCACCGAATTTTTCATATTGTATATAGTTAAATTTAATTTTGTATAACGAAAATGAATTTTTGTAATAAAGCGAAACATACAAATAGTTACAGGAAAGAATTTAAATAATTGTACACATTTGGGCTGACATTAATTAGAGATCTAAGTGGATTGACAGGTCACACAGACTTGGACAACGTAGACGAAAACTGACGTCATGCGATTCAATCTCAGACAATATACTTCCTATTTATGACGTCACTTCGAACAGTGAGACGCCCACTACCCAAGACAGTTCATCGAAAGAAAGCAACACACGTCTCAGGAATACATATTACATATATATATATATATATATAATTACAAAATAAAAGGGGGAAAAGTTGAAAATTCAGAATAATTAAAGATCCAAGGGCCAGGATTCTGCAGCTGGGGAATCGAATATCACGTGAAGATCTGCAGGAGCTGACGACGACGGTGAAAGACCCAAGAGATTGAAATCAGATTCTTGAAACAGTACTGCGTTCTTGAAGTAATAATCCTCAAAGTCCGGATTTTGATGACGAAGAATGCTACGGTTATCTGACGATTCTGTTTTCATCAACTGTTTCGAAACCGAGCAGATGTCGTCTTGTTCCGATGAGAAGATGATGGTGTCGAGCTGAGACGCTTCCGGGTTTATTAGGGTTTTGAGCTCATCAGCTTCATGGCCATGGTGGTCGAGGAGTGATGGGAGCTGGGCAGGCGGTTGCGGGGCTTCGAGAAGAGGTGGTAGGGTTAGATGATGACGACGATGATGACCATCATGATGATTGGATGATGATGATGAATCGAGATTGTTGATTTGGGCATGGGATCTAACGTTTCTTCTATCTCCTGTCTTGTTGAAGACCCTGCAGATCACCCACTCTTCCTGTCTCGACCAAAAAACATCCACGACTATGAATTTTAAAATATTATTAATTTAAATGGGGAAAAAGAAAATCGAAGGTAAGGAAGGTTATGCACGGTGATGAAAACGACAGAGCAGTTGCGTTCATAAACAGAGAACGGCAAGGTGTTGACAACCATGTAGCGGAGGGTTTCTATCAAATCTATCGCTTCCCAATCACTTTCATGCAGTAACTAGACATTACATTTACATCATAATAATTAAAAATTGTAATTAAAAAAAACCACAGTTAAAGCTTGCTTTAATTAGAGCAAAAAGAACACACTGCCTTAACTATTCGTAAAAGTCAACCAACAAAACGACAGAAAAGGTTTTACGTTTCGAGGGATTTTCCGTAAAAAGTTTATGTACTGGAATACCCAACAATTATTACCCTTGGTAAATATAAATGCTACAAAAAAGCTCACTAATATAAAAATATAAAAAAAACTTGTGTCATCAATATGATTATAATTTTTATTTTATTTTTTTTTGTTTTTGAATATTAGTTTAAAATTTTGGTGATATTTTAAATTTTAAAAATAATTTTTTTTTATTTTCAGTTGATTTTTTAAATTTTTGAAAAAATAAATCTATTTCTTGATTACCAAAATTTTTTAGCTTTTACATTCTAAAAATTCTGAAAACTATATCCCTTTTCGAATACTTTCACACATTTTTTCGGTCTATAACGTAACGTTTCTAACATTTTTCAACTTCGTTTACGCATAATTTTCACTCGACTTGTAGTTTATTTTTGCAGTATTTTTCATGTTACTATACGAAATAGTTTGGAATATATAAATACCTTACAGGCGTGGCGGAGAGATTCGAGACGGTACTCGTGCATGACCCACTTGGTCTTGATGCCACGTGGCGCCCTTCCTTTGTAGAACACCAACGTCTTTTTCATCCCCATCAGCTCCGGCGCCGGAGCTCCGCCTCCGCCGGCGAAGATCTCCTTGTCTTTTCCGGTGACTTTCCAGTATCCGGCGGCGGTGGCTCGGTTGGTCCTCAGCCCCGTCGGATACTTCCTGTCCCTTAGGCTGTAAAAGTACCACTCTTTCTCCCCCATCCTCGCCACTTCTTCATAGTATCCCCGATTCAACCAATAAATTATACAAAAAAAAAAATCAAATCAAATCAAACCAGAAAATATACAAATTAAATTGAACCAAAATTAAACCACAGTGACATATAAACCATTGATTTGTTAAACAAACCAAGTATGACAAAACCCTAACCAGAAAAAGTCTGGAAAGAGACACTCAACAACACAGTTCATTACTAAAGACAGATCCCAAAGGTTAAAACTTTGTTATGATATGATTCAAGATCCCAAAAAAACAAGAAACCCTTTTGAGAATAAGAGAAAGAGAAGTGGGAAAAAAAAAATTGAAGAACCTGGAAGTTCCCAAGGCTCGCAGTGGTTGAGATCAACCTCAGGAATGTGAATGAAACCAAAGAGGCCGCCGCCATTGAAGAGCTTCGAAGCCAAGTAGAAGGTGACGAGCTCCTCGTCCGTCGGATGGAACCTGAATCCCGGCGGCAAACCTCTCTCTTTCCC